CTTCAAATTTGGTGAATTGAAGCAAAGAAAAAAAAGTAAAGGTGATTGATGAAAATGAAAATATTTAAATAATTCCATCCACATGAATATCACTCATTTTCGATTTTGTTTAGGCTTTGCTTGTAACTTCGTTTTTTTTTCGCTTCATCATTTTGCTCATTTCGTTGAAAAGCATTGCACAGTTTATTGACACAATGGACTTATATCATTTGACATATGCTTTAATAAAGTGGGATTACGTCTAGGTTATTTTACGACATCAATCGGATTATATATTTCACTGGCTTTGCAAATGCTTGTTTCATAAACGTGTCACTGTCTGCATATATAAGTACTACTATAAAAGTATATAAGTAAATAAGTTGAAGCTATTTTGTTTGTTGCGATTATTATTATTTTTTTCGTACGCTACTGCGACGAAAATTCGTTTTTAAGGCGTAGAAAATAGTGACGAACAACATGGAAATGGAGCAGAAAGCAGCATTTTACATTCAGGATGAAATTCCACCAAAAAATAACAAAAATAAAACATAAAGTAAGTGGGCTCAAAAGACTGATTCCCCTTTGATCATCTTCTTCTCGCTGTTTATTTCATTCTATCAATGTATTGTGTTATTTTGTTCATTTTGCTTTTCATAAATTCGCCGGTCGTTCATTGCACATTTACACGGCATGCATTTGGTTCGAATTCATCGAAATCGCGCCAACACTGCTGAACGGAGCAGAAAGAGAGAACCAAAAAAAAAAGAAGAGAGAATTAAATGAACAAAAAGAGCGAAATGGCGAGAGTCAGAATGAGAAAAAAATATACGAACGTATGTATGGATGGAACGGAAAATGGTGGAGATCATTAAAGCAATGCAGGATGTACTGCAGAAATGACCAAATAGTAGTATTTCAACCATATTAATTCCATTTTGCTTTCGTTTTCTTCATTTCATTCTTCTTTGTGCCTTGCAATTTATTCGCTCTTTTTTTTCTCGCTGTTCACTGCGTATAATAACAACAATGATATGCACGGATCGCCAATTTCTGGACGAAAGAACTTGTAAAAATATACGGATTATAACACACCAGACTTAGTATGATAAAATGTATACGATGAGTAGCTTCAAGCTACATTCGCTACATTGGATTTTTCATTTCGTAAAATATCTGTTTTTTTCTGAGCTTTCATATTATTCGTCATCGCATAACAATCGACAAACCAAGCAATGTTTTAATAATAATAATTTTTTTTTTTGGAAACAAAATTCCATTAAAAACTCAGTTTCTTATTGGTATTATAATTGTACACTTCACATTAATGGATCAATGCTTCAAGCTCAACAATTGTATGCTCTGTGTATGGTAAAATAATGCATTACAATGAATGGATAAATGAAAATAATAAGCTTGGATATTAGTGATCATCATCTTTTATAAACCCATTTAAACTAAGAGAACATCTACATTAGATATGTTTTTTTTTTTGTGGAGAGTACCTTGTGAGCAACAGAATTTTTTCTGCGATTGCCATTCAGCTAAAAAAATTTAAATGCCAAATTCAAATGAATTTAAAAGGATAGGCCAACACCTTTTTATATACATAAGCGACTATTTTCATTTTATGTTGGTGTACACCAGAAATTTTGCTGGCAAACTAACAACCAAAAGTGAAGGCCACAATCTGCATGCATTAAAACCGTTCTCTTGAGAATGAATACAAATTGCATTTTTCATAGAATATGCTTTCGTTCTAATTATGATGCACGACCAATGCTAAAAAAACGCTCTTCAAATTGTAGCAATATTACTTAATGTCCATTTCCATTTGACAGTGTGCAAGAAGAGAAAAAGTCCTTCAGAATCCCATTTGATAATTTAAAGAATGAAGAAGGAATGAAAAATATGTTGTTATTGGAATAAGTCGCTCTCCGAAACAGCATGAGTATGATCTCCTGCTATGTGAACATGCTATTTACATGGTGTAATATTGCCTGTGTCTCATCCAGATAATGAAATGAAGAAGGAAAAAAAACAACAACACAAGAATCGAAAAAAAATGCACGGAAGACATATTCAAATTTTCATGTAAAGCATAAGAAAAGATCGAAAGCCTTGCACAAACATCAGTGCACACAAACCAAGCAAAATCCATTTAAATGGATTTTGAAATAAATTTATATAAATTTGTATCATGAATGCCGTCATTTAAATGCACACAATTTGAATCTTTTTAAGTGTCGTTCAACTGTGCTAGTTGTGGATGCGTCGACGGAAAGCATATGGTTCAAAGTAAACAATGCATGAAAATGGCGCGTCGAAGATTCGATAAAATGATAAAAGCAGATTTTTTTTGTTTTCTTCTGACGCGCGCGCATATTGACGCATTTTTATATATTATTATTAGACGCTGTGCTGAGCACACCAAGAGTCACCATCGATGCCAGTGATTTTACTGTGGGTTACCCAAAGCAAGACGTTAGCACCGGCAACAACAAATGTCCAAAGTTAATTTCAATTTAATAAATCTTATCGTCGCACCACAGGTATCTGGGATTTAATTTTATTTCTTTTATTTCGCCTGAGTCTCGTTCGAAACGAGGTGCTTTTTTTTATTTTCATTTTGAATGGAATGAGTTCGGTTCGACTCAATCTAGTCTGTATATCCTCAAATGCGATCAAAAGTGTTCGGTATAATTATTTGTGCGCGAATGATTCGAGGCCTGACCTCAACAACGTCAAGCGTTCAATTGCAACAAGAGATTATTAAAGTCTGTTGTAAATTTGACATTTTTTTTACTTGGTTGTTGTTTTTTTTTTCACTTACCACATTCAAAAGGGTCGCTTTGATTGGTCTATTTTACATTTTTAGATATTTTCAGCTTCACAATATAAGTGCTATAAGTGTGCAACGGGATCACACCTGTGTGTGCTTGTATTGCTCTGAGGGCAATCGACACAGACTGTACAAGTTAAGTGTGGCTTCATGAATTCCGCAGTCAAATCGTATGAAAAAAAATGACCATATAGTAAAAAAAATGTTGACTGTATCAAACGATGACTGTATGAAAAGCTGTTGTGTTGAGGATATTAAAGAACAGACTCGAATAAAAACGAGATGAAGAAAAAACGGTATGAAAAATGTAAATGCTGTCAGATTAAGTTACCGGTTTTGACTTTGATACGAACGACTTTAATGTATCGCGGCATTGATAATTCAACCGGATCGCATTCATCTTAAGTTCATTCGTGGCTTTGCTTGGACTTTTTTTGGGGTTTGTTTTGTGCATGCGTTCGATCATATTTCTAATTCAAATTCATTTTCACGATTGTTGCAAATCCACATTCCAATCCATGAAGACCGAGTTTCGCTTTTAAATGAATCAGATTTCAGGCCTTTGCTCAATCAATAGAGAATAAATGAAAGTAAATCGATGTAGCATAGATTTGAATGGAATTTTAAGATGAACTGAAAAAACGCGTAAATTTATTGTTTTCATCTTTTATGTTGAGCATTTCAATTCAGCAAAGTTTACTAGAAACTGTAGTTTAGTCTACTTTTCGGTTCTTATTATTTTTATCATGTAGATCGATAAATGTTGTTCAGTCGCCAAATACTTTTGTCATTTGTGCATATACGAGTGCAATTGATGTCCATTTGAAAATTCAATTCAATTAATATGATATTTGTAGTAACTTCAATGGCATAAATTAGAGCATTAATTTTTTTTGCTGAGTAACAATGCTCGAATATTGTGTGGAAACCATTGAAAAGGGATTAGAAAATGACAACAGCAAAACAAGGCTACAAAAAAAACGAATAAAATGCATTGTCATTATCTATTTTGAAGCTAGACGAATTCTTTGTACAAAACGTATGAAAACTCATTCTTTGTTCGAGATTAGTCTCATGCACGGAATTTCGTAACGTAAACACAATGTGAAACTCGTTATTGGTCGCATCTACTGTGCAATTTTTCTGGTAAATGTATGCGGTATGTGCCGTTTAATGTGTTCTATTTCACTTCTTATTCATAAATCACTGGATAGAGCGAGTGTGGTGAACAATATGAACATCGGACATTGGACAATGTATGCGATAAAAACGAGACGAGAAAGCGTGAAAAAGGAAAATGGATACCACAGCCGAATGAAAATGAAAAGAGGCAAAATGAAAAAAAAAGAAACAAAAAACCAACAACTACAACGACATTGGAGTGCACTAGACATCTATTTCGCCATTTGTATTTTATTATATCTGATAGAGCAAATAAAGTATTGCATGGGACATCTATCTATCGAATTTTCAAATATAAATGTGTCTCTGGTGCGGAGACTTGTGTCCGACGACTCAATTTCAGATCACTGGCATTTTTAGCTCTATCTGCTAAACTCTTTTTTTTTCAAAATGCCATCGCCCATTCTTTCCATTTTCATTTTAATCTCTTGGCCGGACGATATGCTCGCCAATGCACTTTGATTTGTATTTAAGCTTACGTTAAATTTTATGACTTAAATCTGAAAATGGCGATTTCTCCTCCAAGTCTTCATTTTCATTTCGCAAAAGTTTTCGCAAATATTTTTCGGTGTATACGTGTACAGTGTACACATTGGCTCTGATTCTGCGGATTTTCCATTTTGGTGTGTGTTTAACATTATTTTTTGGCATTAGTGTCCTTTCGTTTGTACTTATTTATACATATAGCAATATATTTTTCATTTGAAATATATGTTCAATGGAATGGTAGAGTCAGCAAAAGTTGATGATAACCAAATGGCGAAAAGTTATCCTTTTTCTATCCATGGTCCGTTGTCTATCCTTTTTTATTTTCTATTTGCACTTTATGAATGAATATTTTCATTGTACTTATAGCTTTGTATTTGTTTTCGGTGATTTGACATTTTCTATTCAATATTCAACTCAACGTTATTTTTAAAATTATTTCAGTAAATGCCACTTTTTATATTTTATGTAAAAGTCGAAAATGAATTGAAAATATTATATGAGTACTTACCGTTAGATGTTGAAACAGCCACGCTCTAAGGATATTTGTTGCAACTTTTGGGAATATACCTCGCTTTTTTTGGTTCTTTTTGCCATTGGCATCATCATCTTCCTCACCCGTACCTTCTCCACTACCTATACTAGCATTACTTGCATCACCTGTTGAAAAAAATGAAAAGAAAAAGAATGATGAATTAATAAAATTGACGAGTAATTTATGTGTAAGACGCAAAAAAAGCATCAATAATTGTTTTTTGCTTATTTATGATTCAATTGCGTATCCCGCAAAACTTGGAAAGATGACTCGAAATAATTTGTTCATATTGTTGACATATAAAGCTGTTTCACAGTGTTTTTATATATTTTTTCTTCTTCTAACCATACGGAACTATGCGGAACGTTCTGAATCGTAAAACCAGACCACATGGTAAAAAAAAGTAGTTATGACTAATAAAAAAAATATTATTTGAATATATAGATGTCGATCATAAAAAGGTCATAGCTTATGGCGTGTGTTTGCAATTATAATTTTTTTTTAATTGATGATAAAATGGTAGACGCTTTAAAAGCATGATTGATTGACACATTTTAAAGCTGAAGAATCGAATGGAGAAGCACATATTGCTTGGAGAGTAAAAGAAATTAACTATAACATATTCGTGTTGATCAAAGTCTCGAACTGATTTACCGGCAATTTATCTGTGTATTTAACAACGATTTGAGGCGAAAGTGTCATAGTTTTATGTCTTTAGTGCGAGTTTTATTTCTTATGGCTTGCCACACTTTGATCCTGGTGTGCGTTTTATATATGTGTATCGGTCGCGCTTAACATAATTATTCCGATTACTTTTATTACCTCTTTTTTATAGTCATTTGGGTGCTTAATCCTCAACATTTTTTTTCCAGCTTTCTTTTATGACTTTTTGATAAAGTCGAATATTATGATAATTACAACTATGATTATGTATATTCTCTTTTTTTTGCTCAATGTGTTGTTAATACACAAATGGGTGCTATTGCTCACCGATACATTTCATTTGTAAGTCTTTATACATTCACCGTCGTCGTCGTCATCATCGTATATCGTTTGATTTTTGATTGAATTAGTTTTGGTACGTTTGTATGATTCAAGTGTCCACATAATCATCGTCACGAAGTATGTGTGTGTGTGTATGCACGCGATGAAATCGACACGAAGAATAAGAAGAAAAAATTATTTTAAAATTACTGCTTTTACATTCTAGATTGCTTTTTTATCGCTATTTTAATGGTTTAGTAGTAATAAAATTCGGTGCGTGCGTTCGATTCGATATTCTCTTTGCGGTTTTTTTCTCTTTATGTGTCTGACTCTATTTGTCTATACAGCAATGATGCAGTGTTACTTACAAGCACTGATTGATGTGTGGATTCTTTGCTCGAACGCGTGATTATATGTGACAAAAACAATGAAAATAAGTAACTCTCGCTCTCTCTCTCCCCCTCCCAAATAGAGTTTGCTGCACATTTTATGAAGTTGTGAACAGATTAATTGAGATACGGCAATTTATTCGAAAACTCGAATACAACCAATAAATTCACGAGTAACAATGTGTTGAAAAGGTAAATAAGCCAATCCATGTATGTGTCTATCGCAAATAAAAATGTATATAGTTTTATTGAAAATTTAAACCGAAAGAGATGGAAAGAGAGGGAGAGAGATTCAAATTAATTTTCCAGTGCAAAAAAAAATCCATTTATTAAAACTACGATGATCGAATCCACTAACGCATTCAAATTACAAAATGGAAGCGAATACACAGCCATTATAATTAGAATGAAAACCATCGAAATGTCGATGGATTTAGGAAATAATCGAATTATTTATGGACTTGTAGTTGTAATCAAAAATGGCCATAACATTTAGAGAAAATATGGGAAAAGCCATTTATATGCACAGACATAACATAATAAAATATTCGGAGCATTTTTAGTTGACAATGTTGCACACAGCATCACCACTTAAGCTAATAAATTTTCAACTTGAAATATGTTATAAGTTTTTGGCGATTTGATTTTCGCATCTATTGCGATTTTAAGGGATCATTCATCCCGTGAATGACTACGTCTAGTTGTATGAAGAATCATCAAATGAACAGAATCCTGAACTCATATTTTTGATGATGGTTTTAATAAGAAATATCCGGCATCACAAAATCGTATGCCAATTGAGATAAAAAGGACAAAGCCTGACGCATTGAATTTGTCATGTGCTGATATTATTACCAAAAATGTGCGTGTTTTCTAAATGAAGCCATTTCGTTGTTGATGCTGCCGCCTCCTCTATCGTCGCCCCGTTGAATACATTTGAATGAGATCAACACATTAAATAGTGGCAAATTTACATAATTTTATATAAATAACAACAATAATAATGAAATTCATGCTTGGATTGCGGTGTCGGGTCGATGTTTTATTCGCGCTCATTTCATATGGTTGTGATTTTGGATGCGATACGCATAAAACCATTCACAAAAATCTCTAAAGGTCAAATTTAATAGCTGAAAACATTAATCCCTGATAATTTTTCCCTAAACAAGCCCATCTTATTTATGCGGATGGTTCGGTATATTTCATTTTGCATTAAATCATTACAATATATATTCAATTCTTTTACTAAGCACCCGCTACACTGAATGACTGGATCGTTGTGTGCCGGATTCATAGCCGATCGATGTTGATTTTAAATGATGCTTTCGTTTTTGTTCAACATTTTCAATGAGTTTTCAGTTCGTTATCGGCCATACCGGGTCATATACATTTGATTGGCTCAGCTCGTCTCTTTGATTCACCTTCACGTAAGCCGATTGCTTTTTTTTTTGTTTCTCTTTTATTTGTAATTTTGATTTTTGGTGCCATATCACAAAGACACATCTGCATTTAGAATCCTCTTTCTCTATCTAATAGCTAGCAGTCCGCACATTATGTAAACACTTGCCACAAAGTAATATTGTACGTTCATCCTGTCCATGAAATGCTATTATGAATTATTATTCAAATTCATTGGTATAAAATCACCAGAGAGTCAACCATTTGATATAGTTATATGTATGTTCGACGTTCATACGAACGATGTTGGCGTCTTCATTCTCGCTCTTTTACTTGTTTTCCCTCCCAGACCAGATTATTACCATTGCCGTGGCCAATGCAAGTGTTTAATAACATTGTATAAAACCATTGTCGCGTTTAATGCGACGCATTCTAAACGCTCAGTATCTTTTTCGAACAACATTAACCGATTAAGATTAAAATTAAAATTTTAAATTAAACGCAATGCCTACGTAATCGTCTAAAACCGTATTATTTCGACACCCTCGGCCATTGTTAATGGTTTTAAATGCGCGCACGCACTCACATTTCAAACACACAAACAAATGCACACCGATGATATATTTGGTATTAGTATCAATTTATGGTTGCTGTACTCTGAACACACAACATTTTCTCTCCTCTTCGTAACAGTTTTTCCTGTTTTCTATTTGATTTTGCTGATTTTGCTGAAGTCAATGGTTTTTTACTTATGTTGCTTGAGCCCATTTGATGGTGACACGTGGTTATTGTTCGATAGATAAAATATGAATAGAAAGTTTTTGGAATTTGCACAAAGGAAACTGGAAAATAGTGCATACGTTCGCAAAACAGCCACCACATCCGCAGTCTATTTGGTGCGACATTAATGCAACCATGTGTAATCAACATGCACTGCATATTTTAGATGAACTGTACACACAATACTCTTGTAATGCATCCAATTTTGTGTTTATAGTAGAATAAAACAAAAGAAAACTTTCCACTTTTTCTATATCGTTCGAAAGATTCCTTCAACAAATGTACTGTGGCCGAAAAAAAAAAGTATACATTTTTAAGCATCACAATAGAGAAGATGGAAAAAGACACATAGATAAATTTATGCATACAAGTGAAATCCAATCAGAAAGTGTTCGCATTCAAAAATGTGAGAACATTGTATGGTAACGTCAAAAATGGTCGAGTAATAAAATTTGTTTATTATATAAACAGAGTAATAACGCGTAATAGCATTAGAGATTCTTTTGAGCTTTAGATTTTTCGTCTCGGAAAATTTAACGGATCCATGTCAAGCGGTGCATTGTGCGAACCGAAAAAAAGGGCTACATTGTATCAAAAAATAAATAAACCGAACCGAGGCAAACAAAGATGCCTCGAACCATTTGCAAGAGACGTGGAGAGGGTATGACGACATTGCCGTACAACATACGTATTTAAATTAATGTTGGCTAAAGTCAGCGTTAAAGTCAATCGGTCTTTCGTGCGTTGCTTATTGCATCTCAGAATCAACAATAATAATAACAAAAAAACAAGTCTTCTTTCGAAATTCGCTCCCTATATATATATATATATATACATCAATAACAAACGCTAGCTACTGATACATCTCATTGTCCAAGTCAACACACAAAATCAAAAATAGTAGAGATTTAAGTAAACACAAAGTGATTTTAGCAATGATGAGAGCGAAAGGGAAGAACACCAAACAACGGAGGAAATTGTATATAATTTTGATGTATTATCGCTGTTGCGTTCTCTTCTCATGATAGATACAGTAGCATAAGATTAAGGGAATGAATGCGATATTGCATTATTAACAAATAGAAAATTGGGGTGATGGTTAATGACTCACGAGCAGTTTGCGCATTTCAACATAATGCTGTCTTCAAACCATATAACAAATGTGCACATCCACAAATACACATTCGCACACATACACACACACATACGTATGATTTTGCTTCCTCCGCATCATCCGTTTTGGCCAATATTAGAACGAACAACGGAATTTAGTTGACAGACTAAAGAAAATCACCGAAAGTAACAGAAAAACCAAATTCCGATCTGAATCGAAAAGGGTGTTGAAAAACAATTTTCGGTCCGATAAGTATGAAGATGAGAAAAAAAGAGAATGTTTTGATATTATGCTGAAATACTTGTGTACGATTTAGAATCTGTTTTTTGATATGAATTTCAAGCAAAAAATGACCCAGATGTTGTGTAGCTGAGCAAAATTAAATTAAAACTGTTATTGTTGTTCAAACCCGTTTTCAAGCATGGTAAGGAATTGCGCGTACTAAATACCACAGCACCTG